ATTCAACAACACAATATCGACGAACAGTAACAAGGGGAGAAAAATACTAAATGATCACTTGCTGAGTATCAAAATAAGAAACGATTTACATTCTAGATCGCTAATCGAAATCCGACTCTGTTGTTATCAAAAATTTACCTTGGTATGCACCCCCAGCCATCCTTTCCTGTTTTAAAGTAGCGCCGACGACCGTGTAGGCCCAGCCCACCCACGTTTCCTTTTCACCCCCCGTTACCTCAGCAGATGATGCTCGTGATTGTAGGAGCCCCGTTAAGGTACGAGGGATATCTTTTCAGTTTTGCATATAGAAACATAGTAGGCCGCGCGGATCGAACCTCAGTACTGAATCTTAACCTCACTCTTTAGTAAACTTAAATTCAAAGTTTCACAACAATACGTACAGTGTTCTCACTACAGTGAATTTTTATGTGTCACCAAGTCATTAGAAAAATGGAACTCAACCGAGAACATTTTTGCGCCATAACTTATTACAACTTTCAGAGAGAATTATCGCAACAAGAATGCCTTTCTGAGTCACTGTCTGTTTTCGGTAACGAAGCGCCACATCAGTCGACAATTTCCCGTTAGTATGGAGAATTCAAACGTGGATGGGTGAGTCTTAGGCCCGTATCGTCAGTCGTCCCTACAATAAATTGTAGGGCGCATTTATGGCCTCCTTGATTGTCATAGTTTTCTACTTCTCCGTGTCAGCGCTCTATTTTGAGGTTATGTCACAAACATCTATTTGCATCAAATTGTGCTTGCTTTTGAGTTATATCATGTTTTATGAGCCTGAAATTTCCTACAATTTAAAAAGAAAACATATCTTCACGATAGGAGAGCGCTGATGCTGACACGGGACGGGTGCAATCTAGAAATTTTTGAAGGAGAGAAAAGAGTATGTCAATCAAGGAGGCCATAAACGCGCCCTACAATTGTAGGGACGACTGACGATACGGGCCTTAGCGGTTCAATATGCCTTTCAATTATGTTGTCTAGCTCCCACATTGCAGCCTCCACTTTCTCCTGAACATGCTTTACACATTTTAACCATTTTTCTGGTGTGATTCTCTGCAACGCAAGGTTGAACAGCTCTTTCATGTCGGAAAACTTGAATGTTGTGTTGTGTTCAGCAACAAAATTCTTTATATCTGCCCATATGAGCTCAATGGGGTTGAGCTCACAGTGGTAAGGAGGCGAACGAAGTACCATTTTATTGTGCGCTTTTGCCATCTCGTCCACAATATATTTATCATATTTTGCTCTGTGTTGTTTCACAAGATCTAGAAGTTGTAATTTCAACATAAACGTATCAAAAGGAATATTCTTTGCACGTAGCCAGTCATGTATCTCTGATTTCTTAAAAGATGAATTTGGATTTTTTTCTAATTTCCGAGAATGATACGGAGCATTATCCAGGACCACCACAGAATTGTCTTTAAGACGTGGTAAAATGCCTAAAAACCAGTTTTCGAATGCTTCACCATTCATCTCTTCGTGGTAGTCAGTGGTTTTTTTTTTATTCAAAACACCATAGTCCTTCCTTCACGAAGCCATCTACACTCCCGATGTGGCAAATAGTGAGCCTTTTTCCTTTGCCTATAAAGATAAAACTTGTTAAATACGGATGTAGATTATATGTCTTTCACAAGAGTACTGATGCCACGGAGATAGGGACACATTTCAGTATTTTATATACGATGCTATATTGTTTCTCATGATAGCGGGATGCATGCGGTGAGATATATCGGACACTTCAACCAATGCATCATTTAATCTGTTGATGAATCTGGTTAGCTTAAAAAACAAAAAGAAACAGGCAACATCAATTAAACTAAAAAATTATCAAGTGTGACAAACTTAGCGAAAAATTTACAAATCAACGCAATGTCTGACGTTGTTCATTAACGTGTTACATTCCGTGACGGACGAGGTATGTTGTCTCTGCAACGCTCGCATTGCTGTAAAAAATCTTGTCATCGATACCATAAGAATTCCAACGTAGAATACATTAATTTCCAGAGTGAACATCCCGTCATTTTTTCTAGATATCTGATAACGTGTAATGCCTCATTTAAATCAATTTGGCTATGAAAAATTATCTAATAACTATTGTTGGATTTTCTAAAATGGAATGTCTGCATTACCTGTTGAAAGCCCATCTAAAAACGCTCTTCTTGCTGACGTTACTGTTTGGTCCACCCAAACTTTTGATTTTGTATGGCCAGCATTTATCCACGTCTCGTTCAGGAAGTAAATTCTACGGTTTTGGCTCCTGTATGTTTTTATTTTTGTCAAATACTCTCTCCTCCATAGTATAATTTCATCTCTATCCATCAATGAACTGTTTCGGCCTCTCTTCTGCCAATTGATGTTGAGTTCCTTTAATAACCTGTAGAACGTCGTTTTACTAAAATTCGGCAAATCTGAGTCTTGATTCACTATTTTCAAAATCTTATCAATTGTAGGAATTTCATTCTGGAAAAAGAATTCATGAACCTTCCTTCTCATCGCATTTCTGTCAGCATCATCTATTTCTTTAATTTGGCTTTTACGGTTCTGATTCATTTTAGGTTCAGCAAATGCATTCCGTAATTTATATTCTTTGAGTATTCTAAATACCGATGCACGAGAAACTCCAACTTTATTCGCCACCCTCTGCACAACATCGTTGACGCTGAGCTCAGGTTTTTCCTCCGTTTCACATTTGTAAACATTTAAAATAATTTCTTTCACTTCGATGCTCAAATGGTTTTGTCTTGATCGTGTCCTGGGTGGACTCAATGTAGTTCTCCCTTCATCAGCTGTGTCGGTAGAAGACATGGTCAAAAAACACCAGATATAACAGAACTTATAACAGCGATGCACTCGACGCCACGCCACGGCCTGATTACAACTCTGGTTTTTGTAGACATCAACGCGGCGCAACGGCGGGTTTTGTATTGCTACAGTCTAACTAGGTCTTAAAAAATGTTCGAAACTGCATGTTTTCCAACTTCATGGAGTTTTATATTGGAACAACTTCAGGGCATTGTATTTAACAAAAGCATCAATATGAGGGGCAGAAAGTTTAAAAAAGAAAAATAAAAGCTACGAAATGAAACTATTAGTTGAAAAAGCAAGCGCTTCAAACTACAACTTCAAACCGTAAAATGCCTGATCTATAATGAGACCCTCTGCGGGAACATCGATCACGCGCTGATCACCCTTCGAGTTTGCGATGTTGTGGTCTCACTTGGGCTGAATTTTAGTATAGATAGTTCCCGGTGTGCACATAGTACATCCGCGCTTGCTCGCTATGAGCGCTGTGAGCATCCATCCATGAATGAATGACTGAACGACGCGACATTCTCAATCACCATGCTGCAAGCTGTACGTCAGTTCCCCATCATACTTTGTTGGTTACAGAATGGCGAGATAGTCTGTAGAGTACACTATGAGAAGATGTGTGGTTGAGTTGTTGAGTAGCAAGATCGCATCTGGATGTGTATATTGGTCTGCACGTGTATAGACTCAGTGATACTTGCCATGTGAGAAAATAATTACTGAATGTTTTGCCCTTTGAAATGTAACTATTAGCCATGCCAGATGGGTTATTTGTGTTGTGCTTTCTGAAGAGAGGTTATGTCCAAAGTTAGAGAAGCATTACAGGAAATCAGCACCGCACGCGAGTTGTGCTTTTAAGCCAGAAAAATTAGGAATGACGCATCACACACAAAACATTTTCGCACTGCCTCATATCTTGGCACTTATTCGTGTTTTCTACTTGACATCATAAAATACATTTCTATAAAATTTAAATGACTGGAAATAAAAAGTAATGTGAAATGTAATAACTTTTTTACGTTTCATAAATGTTCCTGTATGTACCATATTTTTCTCACCTGTTAATTTTGATATCCTTCACCAACCAGTGATTTTCTTTTCTTAATAAATCTCTTTTTTTGAAATTCAGCAAATTCATATGTCATTTCCAGATTGTATTTAGAAGAAGCGGATGCGCAACTAATTTTAAGCTTTGCATGCAAGTTATATCCATCATCACCCTGTATTTTATATAATATTATAATTATTACCTGGTACTTGTATTTCTTGCTAGCATTGTCGCTACGCTATGGAATCTTATCTCGCGCTTTGAAGTTCACATGTTAACATCCTCTGTATCAGCATATTATATTTCTGCTGCATTGTACTAAATCCATGTGTGAGGAAATCTTGTCACTTCTTGTCTAACCGTCCTGTTTTACGCATCGTCGTGACAAGGTTTCACAAAAGTCCTTTTGAACCGTTAATCAAAATAAAGTTTTTTTTTTAAACAAGTATTTTGGTGGCAGTAATTTAACTGGGGGCTCAACCGGGATCCCTCTGCGTGTCACGAAACGTGAAACGTGCACCTTCGGTGTCCGAATTCGAGGCAATCGAGCAGAGTATCGGCCAGCCGAAATCACCAGCCATAGACACGCGAACTTTCAAGTTCTTAGAGGGATCCACAGCCAGCAACAACAGAGTGAAGGTAGTAAGGACCAGCAGCATTGGGCGTCGGCCCTAAGTTCCAGAACTCCCGAAAACCTTGACAATAGAAGCGGTTCAGCTAGGAGGGTGTGCTGCATCTTTAGCGGCACAACCAGTCTATCGTAGAAACTAGTGAAGCCGAAGAAAGAAGTAAAGGTAGAAGACGAACGTTTTTTCAGCGTTTCCCATGAATCTTTTGTGTGTGGTCGTGTTACTGTAAGTTGTTGAACATTTTTGTTGTTAATCATTGTTTTTTGCATAAACGTTTCCTAGTGGTGATATTTCATCAAACATATCTGGAATAATTATATTTGTCTCGCGAATATTTGTAAATATTTTTGATTTCTTAGATCTTGTAAATTTCTGTGATACTGGTTATTGAAGTTTTGGTACATCCTGAGATTTTTATGCCTCTTTATCATTCCGATAGTGAATCAGATTGCTCTGACTCTGACAGGCACCGAAACCGTTCACGTAAATTAACAATCATGACTTCAGAAATTACAAGTCTAGACTTGTCTCTTGCGAAATATATTGTTCCTGATTATTTTGGCGGTAGTAAAGATCTTTTGGATTTTGTCACGAAGACAGACCAATTTACAGAATTGCTGAAAAAGCCGAATCCAAATTGTGTGTTCAATAAACTGCTTTTTCATAATATTATCGCAAAAATCAAAGGCGATGTTAGAGATTTATTGAATAACAGTTCCTGGGTTACTTGGAAGGATGTCAAAGATATTCTTGTTAATAGATTCTGTGATGAAAGAAATGAATCTTGTTTAGCTTACGAACTTTCTCCCATGCGTCAGAATAACAAAGAATCTTAACAACAGTATTACGATCGAATAAACGAACAATTTAAAAAAATGTTGCAACAGGTAAAATTAAATTCGCCTCCTGAAGTATTTCAGATAAAATTAGAAATGTACTGTGATCAGGCTTTAAAACGCTTCATTTTTGGATTGAAGGATCAGTATGGTAATATTTTTGTGCACTCACATGTGAATAGTTTGCCAGACGCTTTGCGTAAAATTCAAGAAATGGAAAACTTTTGGTATGAGCGTTCTTTGACCAATTTCATGAGAGATAAAGACGAACCCCAACGCAAAGATAGTCAGTTTCCCAAACCAGTACCAAATCAGAGGGGAAATAATTTCAATAATAGCTTCCAAAGTCAGTTTAGGCCACAATTCCAATTGTCACCACCCAGAGTTGGTCCACCCAGACCAAACAATTTAACTCCTCGGCCGCAACTATGTCAGCCACAGTTAATGCCGTGGAAGAGCTCCATAATCAGGAGACTGACGGCTCTGAATTTCCTGATCAATACGATAACTATTTTTCTGAAGCCCCGTACGTTGATCAGCAAGACTTTGATTACTTGGAAAGTGAGGTAGCTACTTTTGAAAATGATAGTGCCCAATACCAGCCTCGGAACCGAATCAGTCGACTTAAATAACATTTACAAGCTTTCGAAGTTCCTCTATATAGTTCTCCCGAAGTTAGGCCTTAAAATATTGGTGGACACGGGAGCTACGTCAAACATTATGAACTCCGACATTGCAGATACCTATTTTTCTGAATTTCAATTTGAACAAAATTTTGAAGTAAAATCGCTAAATAAGATTTCTCATGGTTCAAAAAATGTTCTATACCCAATCCTGAATGAATTTGGCATCAATAAAGTCCTAAGTTTCAAGGTAGTCGATTGGCACCACAAGTTTGATCTGTTGCTAGGGACAAATGATCTTCAGAAATTAGGTGTAAAAATTGACTATACCAATCAAAATGTTCAGTTAAAAAATCGATGTATTTCATTCGTTATCGAAAGGGCTACACCAGTCAAACCGACTCGCCTTGAATATGTCAATCATATTACTATACCAGTCAAAATTGAGAATGGTCCAGTCGTTGTTCCGGAATTTGAAATAAATGGAATCATATTTCCTGATTGCATATCTACGGCTCGCGATTTCCACGTCACCATACCTATTCCTAAAGAACACTCTACCCCGGAAGAGATATGTTGCATAGAGCCCATGGATGTAGATTCTTTGCTTGAATACAATATTAAAAAACCTGATATCCAAGAAAATGATTTCAATATAACTCAATTAATACGTACCGATCATCTATCTCTCACCGGATGAAAAGCAAAAGATCCTCGAACTTTGCTAAAAATATAAAACAATATTTCACTTCGAGGGTACAGACTTGACCTGTACTCATCACGTTAAGCACAAGTTTCGAACAACCGGTGACATACCGATTTATCAGAAACCGTTTAGGTACCCCCCTGTTCTCCAGGAAGAAACTAATATGCAAGTACAAAAAATGATCGATAACAAAATTGTGTGGCCAAGTATTAGTCCTTACTCTTCTCAGGTATGGATCATCCCGAAGCGCTTAGACGCATCCGGTCAGCGTAAATTTCGACTTGTTATCGATTATAGGACATTAAATTTCAGAACCATAGAGGACAAATACCCATTGCCCAGAATTGACGAAATTCTGGACAACCTTGGCAAATGCTCATTTTTTTCGACAATCGACCTCTCTCAGGGATTTCATCAAATTGTGATTGATCCTGAATCTATTGAGAAAACAGCCTTTACGGTAAATAATCAGCACCTGGAATATGTCCGGATGCCTTTTGGCTTGCGAAATGCTCCGGCGACATTTCAGCGCTTAATGGATGACGTTCTTCCTGACCAGTTGTATAAAAGTTGTATTGTCTACATAGACGATATTTTGGTATATTCCAAATCATTATAACAGCACGTTCAACACTTAGGATTCGTATTTAAAAAATTGAAAACCTATAATCTAAAGGTACAGCTAGATAAAACGGAATTTCTCCGCAAAGAGGTACCGTTCTTAGGTCACGTTATCACCGAACAAGGAATAAAACCCAATCCAGACAAAATAAAAGCAATCAAGGAATTTCCTATTCCAAAGAGCACAAAGCAAATTAAAGGGTTCTTAGGTCTCACCGGATTCTGTCGAAAATTTATTATAGATTATTCTCGCATCGCCAAACCAATGACTAGAATGTTGAAGAAGGGAAATATATTCAGGCATTTGAAAAATTAAAAGACTTAGCCAGAAATTTGCCAGTTTTAATTTACCCTGATTTTTCGCAACCTTTTAAACTGACTACCGATAGTAGTAGCGTAGCTATTGGTTCTGTCCTTTCCCAGAACTACCGCCCCGTGGCATTTTATTCTCGTACGTTAAATAATGCCGAAAGGAACTATAGCGCAACGGAGAGGGAATTGCTTGCAATCGTAGATTCTGTAAAACATTTTCGCCCTTATATGTATGGAAAAAAATTGGTAATTGAAACAGATTGCAAACCGCTGACTTGGCTCTTTAATCTGAAAGACCCGGTATCCAGGCTAGCACGCTGGAAGGTCCGCCTCGAAGAATATGACTATGATATACTTTATAAAAAGGGTAAAGAAAATTGCGTCGCTGATGCCTTATCAAGGGCAGAACTTAACGCCGTGGATGACCAATTACCCTGTACATCTAAGGAAAATCCTGAATACCTTCAGATTCCTTTAGTAAGAGCATTTTTCAGAAAACCCACTGAATTATTTTAAATGTCAATTTGGGTTCAAAATTTTGGATAATTATAAAGTTACCAGAAATGAGGTTTTAAAAAATAAATACAGATTATATGTGACGCTTTCGCCCAATAGTTTACATTCTCAGATATAACAAACACTTATCGAGTATGTCGATCCAAAAAATACATATGGTATCTTCTGTCATAATGAACCCTTGAAACCGATTATCACACAATTGGTACGCTCCTTGTTTGACCCCGAGGTTCATCTAATTTTTACAAATGAACTACCTTTAGGTATCACCGACGAAGGGGAACAAACAAGATTAGTCCAAGAATATCACTCAAAAAATCATAACGGAATTCAAGAAACACTAAAGACGTTTCAACTAAGGTACTATTGGCCCAACATGAAAAATTCTATAAACGCATTAATCAATTCCTGCGAAACCTGCAATTTAGCTAAATACGATAGAAATCCTTACAAACCGCCGTATGAAGGGCCGCTAATTGCAAAATACCCGTTCGAAATTATTCTCGTTGATACTTTCAAAATTGATAGCAACTATTTTTTCACTATTTTGGATTTATTTTCTAAATATGGGCAGGCCTAACATATTACTGATGAGAATTCAATAACTTTGCTTGAAAAACTACGTAATTTTATCAGCCATCATGGAATTCCTGAAAAAATAACATGTGATAACGGAGCCGGATTCCCAGCCAGAACTTTCAAAGAATTCTGCGAGTTACATAAAATAAAAGTCCATTTTACCACTCCTGAGAATCCTTCATCTAATTCTCCCGTTGAGAGGTTCCACAGTACCCTTAAAGAAAAATTAAGTGCTTTAAGGCTTCAAATCCCGAAAACAGGTATAAAGGACCTCATGGTGACCGCGATTTTAAATTATAATCCAAGTGTCCATAGTTTAACGAATTTTTCTCCCCACTCACTCATTTATACTCCTTTTAACAGAACAAATGTAACAAATATCGAATTAAGTAAGGATGTATATGGGGTAAGATGACTTGAAACTCTTGATTTTTCGAAAACAAGAGTTTCAAGAGAAACTAGCAGACCCTCTATCGATGATCGCTTAACGACATCGATAGAATGTGCGAGGTAAAGGGAACCAACCCGGCGTTCCCAGAGACTGAAACACATGAGGAGACGTTGTAGCAGACCGCAGGTCACGCACAACACATGGCCTACCGAGACGCTGATGAGTCGGGCCACGCGGAGGTTTAGGGTTTAGTGGGTATTAGGTGATCTCTTCAAGACCCTGGAGCCCAACACACGTCGTAGCTCGTGCTATGGTATGGTGCGTAAATGCATTCCCCCCTCGTTAAAAAAAAAAAAGAAAATGTATATATGAACAATACAACCAAAAGCGTGTTGACGAGCTCAAACTATTATATCAGTCGGTAAGCGATAAATGTAAGGGAAAAGCTGAAAAGGTTCTCCGAAAGAGAAACGAAAATCGCACTGAACGATCGGAAATTCCAAAAGAGACTACGGTTTTTGTCAAGTCCAGACAAAGGACTATGAAAATCAGCCACAGACAGGTGAAATCCAAAGTTAGAAAACAGAAAGGCAATAGCTTGCGGTTACAGACTTTAAGCAAAAAACCAGTTCGCACTAGAAGGAATTTGCGTCAAATTAAAAGAGTAAAAAGGTGTTTTTCTTCACCGGGCAACCCTGTGGCCGCAAGCCTGAGGCTTCATCAAGTCCCAACCAATAAAGGTTTCTACCCGGAGCCGTTGGGGGACGCAAAAATAATAAGCCATTATCATACGTTTATTTTTAGCCATAATTTCAGCTTAATAGCTGATGTTATTAGACAGATAGAAGTTAGTTATAGTATTGTAGTAAACCGTTCTAATGAGATCAACCTCAAACCGGTACTAGAGGACCTATACAAAAATGTTAATTACGTAAAAATGGAATATTTAAAATTATCACCTTATCACACAGTAGAAGGCGTCGATCAATTATTAACGGATTTGGCAGCATAATTAGGTATGTAACAGGAAATTTAGATCAAGATGACCTTACAGAAATCAATGATAAATTTCAATCATTAAAAGACAAGGAAAACGAACTTATAATAGCCATCAAAAATAAAAAATCATTCGCTCAGCTCATTTCACAAAAATTTGAGAACGATATGAAAGTCATCCAAAACAATGTACAAATGCTATCAGAAACTGTCAAGAATTACGAATATGAAAGTTCGATTTTTAGTCTATTTATTC